AACTCATATTCAAACATTAATCTCAAACTCTCAGAAAAGAACACCTGTAATGCAGTTTTCCCCCTACCAACCCCCTCACACACACAAAGTTCCAGTCTATATTAAGTTTACGGAAACATAGCTAAGATACTTTTTTTCTCCTTCAGAAACCAAAACAGGTCGTATCTTACAGTTATCAACAAATACGAAATCAAGAATAAACCCAGGTAATACAGCCACAGCTGAAACCATTTTACAACAGTGCAGAAAAAAAGAAGTTATCATCTAATTATCATGTCCAGACACATACAGCCAACACTGATGAAACAAGAAAAAACATGGACTGTCCTAAAGTAGTACCAGCAACCCACAGAAAGTTAACTTTAAATGTTTAACTTCAGTCAGGAATTCTGGCTCAGTCTTGCCTCCAGATATGAACATCCATCTTAAACACTCTCAGTAACTATCCTCTCTATTTGCCCCCACTGACTACATCAGTAAAATTCAGTCTGTCTTAAATATTGATAAGCCACTTAAGTTAGATTCCTGAAGCAACGCTGGTCATCACAACATCTGATCAATCAACTGGGGCTAAATTCACAAAGCTCAAGTTCCAGCATGTTAAGATTTCAGAGAATGTCTCAACAAGTTTTGTTTATTTTGAAAACTTCACCATCGGGGATTGACCCCTCAATTTCAGATTAAAGTTTCTGTTTAATGCTAATGTATTAACCACTACACAACATCTCAGGAATATACGAAAAGTCTCAATGAAGTCTGCACAAACCCATCACTGGGAAACACGCATTTCACCTTAAGACAATCCAGCTGCCCTTTCTGAGCAAAAGGCTTTCAAATTCAGCAAAAAATAAAGTCTGCCAGTATGGTAGGTTCAAGGCACCTAAAGCAGATGCAATGACAAACAACAGAAGTATGGAAGAAGAGAGTCAGCTATGGCAATCGTCCCCTCTGGCTCATCTGTCTGGGACAGTCTTTGTACAGAATAGCAAAAACAGCACGTCCAGACACACACCCATCCATGACATTCTTACTAACAACAGTTTCTGATGTTCTTCTGGTTTAAACTGCTGAAATTGTTTCTGGACTGCGCAGGCAACAACTGAAGGGAAAAAAGAGAAAAAAAAAAGCCACCCGAGATTTATTGCTATTCTTGAGACAAAACACTCAAGGTAGTAGTTTGAGAAATTCTGTAAGGCTGAATATCAGGAAGCAACAAAGACAGGAATCAGATGAAATAGTTTGATATTAAGAGATTAACTTGCCTCCAAGGTGAAATTCACCCAGCCCAAAATAACTGCATTCCCAAGTACTGTGTTGTATCTATCTTCACAGGCATCAAACTTTTTTTTTTTTCTGGAGTCACAGTAGAAGACTGAAAACTACCGCAAAAGCACCCATTTGCCTTATGGTTCCTACTGTACAACATCCAACAACTTCATCTTCAGCTGAATTTTTTAGAGGAGTTTCCCCTTGACTATCAAAGCTTTAAGGCAGATTTCTTCTGGAGTATGTCTGGTGCTTTCTGGAATTAGTAAGCATTTAATTCCTTCCAAAATTCAGTCTATAAAAACCTGAGCTCTGTTCAGAAACACAACAGTTACCTTGTCCCACTCACAAAGTAATACTTTTTATAAACTTGACTTTCTACTCAAAAAAAAAAAAACCACTACCCATGCCCTAAAAGTCAAAGACCAGTTAACAGAACCAACAACTTTCACAGCACTTCTACACTTAAGCGTTCAGAATGCTGATTCTGTGTGCTTTTTCCACATAAGGTTAAAGATAAAAAAAAGTTTTTTTACAAAGATTTTTATGAAGACTTCAGCAGATGTCTAAGTTCAGCAGAGAAGTTTTAGATGCAATAGTATCAGTAGTTTAACGAGAGACAGATTTCTGTTTGGAGAGACCAAAAGGCCCAGGTTACATGAAGAGGCTGCATCATCAATTTACAGAAACACAGCACCACTTCATTGATTCCAAAACTTTTCTCCGTAAAACCTCATCCTTATTGAAATATATGGAACTCAGTGAGCTTCATTTCTCCCTGCCATCCTATGTTCTAGACAATGCTCACCAACGACTACTGTTTATCTAACAGTTAGCTGAAACGTATCTTTATAACATGAGAAATATTTGCTTTTTACTTTTGTTTCCATCAAGGCCTAGAAAAACAAACTACAAAAAACCCCTACAAAATTAGTTACACAAAGGAAATCTCTTCTTTTACACAAGGAATTAATGAGAATCACGGTAAACACTCACAAGTCCTCAGGATAAATTTAATGCTTTTATCAACCATGAAAAGGCTTTTTCAAAAAATACCAGCTATTGGCCTGAATATAACCTGAGTCTGCTCTCCTACAACTGAAGCACCTTGTATGCTGCACACTTGCTGAGAACTTCAAACTAACGCTTTTGACATAAAGACTTATGAAAGCTGCTGGTTATGTGAGAGATCAGCTCTGACTTGGCTTGTCAATAGTAGACAGCATCCTCAAAGGTAAAGTTTACATGGGGGTCTTGAAAGATCAGGAAGTGATCTGCAACTCAAACTATACAATGTTACTTAAGAATGTGTAGTTTAGGTATCAAATTTCAACTTTAGGAAAACTGAGCAAGGAATTCTACACCTTTTGAAGTAGAAGATCATTAGTGTTACAGTTCATTCATTAGAAGTAGCACAAAACTTTGAATGTTGTTATGAAACAAAGTCACAGCAAAATAAACTACAAACGAAAGCAAACAAAGTATCTCACTTTCCTGTTTTCCTTAAGAAACAAAGGAGAAAAAACAATCAATGAATTAAAAAAAATCCAATATGGCACACTTCAAACTTTCTGGCAACTTTTCATTCCGGAACATAATGAACATGTGCAAAACTTATCTACGAATACACTACATTCTCATTATACATAGCTCAGAAATTCCTTGGGATGACCATTTTCCCTATTATCTTCACCCACCGTGGCAATCCTGCCACATATTTTTGTTTCAAATTATCTGCACCGTGATGAATACAGCAGTATTTTAGATTCAATAAGCAAACTGGGCTATTCTGTACGTGAACTGTACACACAAACAACAACAGTGATTGCAGTAATTCCGAATTATTTGTAACTCCAAATTATTTTTAACTCAACATCCCACCCTCTCTCAGGTGTACACATACCTTATACCTACAAGTCACACCCATCACTGACTTGTTCAGGATAAATAACCTATTAACATTCGCACTATGGAACAAAAGAGTTTTTTCATCTCAACCATGTGCCGTCAAAACGGCGGCAAAAGAAAAAAAAAAAAAAAAAAAGGAAAAAAAAAAAAAAAAAAGAGGAAGGGGCGGAATAAACGGAAGCGGAGAGGAAACAAGACCAGAGCTGCGTCTCCCTCCGGCCCAGCAGGCCCCCAGCGGGGTGCCGGCGCGGCGGGCCCCAGGCACGAGGCTGCGTGCAGGAGAGCCCCGGCCCCGCGTGGCGGCGGGAGGGGCGGCAGGGGGCGCTGTAAGCCGCAGCGCCGTGCTGGAGTCACCGCGGGCCGGGGGAGTTCCGCAAGGACAGGGGCCGGGCTGGGACCGCGTGAGAACCGCCGCCCAGGTCTTCTCCGCCCGCACGATGAGAGAAAATCGTTCGCTAGGAGGCCGTGGGAGAGACTTCGCCGGCACTCCTGAAGGAAAGGGAAGCTTCGCGTTTGGCGGCGGGATATAAACACGCGCGGCGCTGCCGCTCAATGCCTCCTGAGCCGGCGTTCTGCCAGAGCCCCGCGCACGTCCCCTCACCCTCCGGCCACTAAAAGACCACGACAAAGTAAAGGCCGCATCAGCGTCTCTCCCGGTGCGGGGAAGAGGCAGGAGCGGGGCGGGCCGGCCCCGCTGCCCCTCGCACTGCGGCACCGGAAGGGCACGCGGCCGGCGGGGACCGGGAGCGAGGAAGGGCGAGAGGCAGAGAGCGCCGAGTGCCGGCCGCGAGGCGCGGGCCCGTAAGTTGCTCCGCGAGGGTTCCAACTTACAACGGCATCGTCTCTCCGGCTCCTCCTCCTCCTCCGCCGCCGCCGCCACCACCACCGTCGCCGCCGCGTCTTCCCCTTCTCCCTCCTCCTCTTGTTCTTCGTCCTCCCCCACCGCTGCCGCCTCCGGACCGGTCACTCGCCCCGCCGGGAAGCGGGAGCCGTGACCATGGTAGGGGCCGGGGCGGGGGTGAGGGCTCGGAGGGAAGAGAAAGCCCTTCGTCGGGCCCGGCCGCCGCCGCTTCACTTTCCTCTTCCCCTCCGGCCTTCTAACATGGCGCCCGGACGCTACCACAGCAACGTTCTGGAACGGGGGGGGACCTACGCAGCGGCGCGGCCACCCCCGCACGGCGCGCACGCTAGCCGACCCGCGCACGCTCAGTTGGCCGCGGGGCCGGGAGGCATCCTGGGAGCTGTAGTTCTGGCGAGAAGTGCGCCGGGGTTTGAAAACAAAGCTCCAACGGCCGTGAGGCGGCGCGTGCGCACGGCGTGGCGGGGCAGCCTGTAACCTCGGCGCCGCCGGGCTAACGCGGGGCGAGGCTGGGGCGACCCCGCTGAAGGGGTTGACGGGAAGGAGCGAAGCTCTGACGAAAGGCTCCGTGCTGGCGCCGGCCGGCCTGGGAGCCTTTAACTGTCATGGAAACTGATGCGGCGCGGCTGCGGGCATTTCGACTCCCGCATCCGTGACCGGTGCCAGGGCCCTCGAGGCTTGAGAAGGGGCCGCCTGCGGAAGGTCCCTCCACCTCGTTTCGTTGAATAAAAGAGAGAATTCTGTTCAGGTGTGGGCTGGCTTTCGTCCCTTCTCACCTACATCAGACCTATTTTCTTTTTTAGATCCCACACGGAGCAGAGAGACTGTTTTCTAATAATAAGCTATGAAAGCCCTGTTTGCAGTAGACTACATCTATCTCAAAGACTAGCCTGAGGTGGAAGTGATCCACAAAGATCAAGTTCTGAACTTCAAACAACCAAACAAAAAAAAACTATGCTTTGCTCAAGCTGCTCAAAAATTTATTCTTAGCAAAGTACATGTACTACATCTATAGCATATATAGCAATTCCACACAGAAAGCATGTGTCATTGTATTTTTTTAAAGCAAGGGTAAAAATAAGACAGTCTCAAACTATATATTTTTCTAAAGTAACCAATTATTTCATCTTCAGGTGATAATGATTCAGGTGGTAATCTGGACTGGCAACATCTAGGAACTTAAACATACACACACAAAAAAAAGTGTAAAGAGAATACTTTCCTCAGGCTCCCTGCTTACTTCCTTTATGGATCATAGCAGAAATGCTGTTTAAATACAATATGTAACTGAAAAAATCCAGGAGAAAAAAAAAAAAACAACCAGATTCTTAAGGTTCACAGTTGGAAGATGATGCATGAAATAGACACATCTGTGTATTAATCAATGTGTAGTACTTCAGGAGAAGGACTATTAAAAACTTCAATGCCACATACTAGAACAGTGTAAAAAAGCGGACATTTTAAAAATAGTGTTTGAACAAAACTAAGCCTAAGAATTTTTACTGTAAATAACATTGGGAACATTCTCCCTTTCTATTTAGTATTAAATCCTAACAGCTGTAGAAACTGCTATTTCATTTCACATCAGGATTGTTCTTGAAGAGATATTCTGCCTGCAAACAGAAGATTTTCAAAGTCATTTTCAAGCTTCCAGTTTTAAAATGTACATAAAATAACAACAATGTACTGGAAAAAAAGTGCAGAAAGTATTAAATGTGTCTAAAATGTCATCTCTGTTGGATACCTATAAGAAGCTTCTTACAAATACACCCACCTCATTTTGTCTCATTTTTGGTAGCATTGACCCCATTTTATTTATTTATTAATTACTCCACAAAAAGTTATAGGAAGTACCTTAGGGCCTGATTTCTGAACTCAAAAGACTGTATTACGAATAATACAGTTCTTACAAAGTTATGCAGTAAGTAGGAACGATCTCTTACTCCTACAGTAAATGTTCACTCTAAGCTTTTCATTGATTTCATTGAGTTGATAGTTTCTCTTCATTAAAAACAGTGATTGCCTGTCAACAACTTTCCAGGGAATTGAGCAAGAAGAACATCCATACAGTGACACATTTACAGCATTTGAATCCCTGTGGGAATACAGCGCTGACCCAACTTTCAGCAGAAAGCTGAACTAAGTAACTTCTTGAGGTCCCTCGCCACTGGAATTGTTTTGTGGGAGTCTTACTATATTCACTCATTAATTTGTTTGTGTATTGTAAAGAGATCATTGAAGACTATTGTTCAAATAGTACTGCTGGATCTAGAGGGGTATAAGCAGAGTAGAGAGTGATGCTTCTCTTCCTACATGTCTCAGCCTTGCAGCAGAATTGGCAGGGTACCATAAAAAAAAAAAAAGCAGAAGAACCTAAGCACCATAGCAAAACGGGATTGATACAGTGATACAATGTCAAATGATCTCATACAGTTATAGGGTACATTAATTTTCGCAATAGTCACTGTTCACCTGTATTGCACATAATTAATGGTTATAATGCAAGTAGGTTGAAAATAGTTTAAGTGCTTATATTAACAGTCTTTGATCCATTAATATTTTCACTGGGGTTTTTCCTAATGTACAATAATAATAATAACCTTACCAGAAAATCAACTGGATCATCTGGTCTGATCTTACAGCATTCATTTAGCCCTTGCATAAGTGTTGGCATGACATGCCTCATTAAATAGTTTCGTAGTGGAATGGACTGGGCTTCCAATAATTCTTGTTCTTGTTTTTTAACTTCCTCAAAATGTTTATTCTACAAATAATTTACAAAGCAACAAAGAATAACATTAATATTAAGTTACTAAATAGTAGAATAGTAGTTGACTAAATAATGATGGCTACCTAAAAAAAAAAAAAAGTAGTGTTAAAAGCCACGGATAGAACTTTAAAACTCAGTTACCAGAAAAAAATATGGACTGCTAAATTTAGAGAACATGGCACACACTAAGGACAGCAAGAGAGCATGACGAAAACCTCCCTGGCAAAATTATTTTATTCCTCTCATCTTAACGCCTAAAAGAACATCTAAAGTTTTCAGGTTCTCCTATTTCAATAAGATATTCGGGAAATAGGCTAGAAAATACTGCACTAGTTTGAGCTAAAAGATCACTCAAAAACATGTTTATTTTCCTCTCTTCTCATCTTACTCATTAGTAGCCTTAGTCATATACAGATACAGCAAGCAGAAGAGACTTTGAAGACTGCTTTTGCATATCCAAGGCATAGCACAAAAGCAACCATTCATATAAAACTGATAAATTATTTGAAAAAAATAAGTTTTCCTGTTTAACTGAGTCCAGAAATGCTACAGAATAAACTCTGTGAGTCACTTTCCTCAAATTGCAGCTGAAGTACAGCCTCAAGGACAAATGAGTAATAGCACAGACTTTTTGAGCACCTGCCTATTTAAAAGGATAGAGTATAGATATTACTTTAATACCTACTTTGGCTCTACATAATGCAGTTCACTTTCTTGAAAGTTAGAATGTTTAAGATATGTTAACTACCTTTACTAATCTCTTAGGCAAGTTTATTGAGAGTACAGAACAGTATTTACTCTTAAATGAAACTGAAAACAAGCACAGAAGAAACTCTTACAAACCAACATCAGAGCAATATTAAATGCACCTATTAAAGGAGCAATTTCAGGTTATAGTTTTCCCACAAATATGTATAGGCATCCTAATGTAAGAAAATTATTTTTCTATAGCATGTCAGTTTCCTTTTAAATAGCTATAACTGGAGATTGTAAAAGAACAGCATTCTGGTGGAAAGGGAATGGAAAGGAAAAAGAACAAACCACCATGGATTTAGCTGTGATTCAGGTGTGAACAAGAAATTTCTTATAATATGCATTTCACATTATTTGCCTAAAATATCTTTTAGGCATGGCAAAGTAAAAAAAAAAAAGTATATGCAAATCCTGTGAAGCTGAAGCATCCTTCAGCCTGCCTCAGGCAGTCCTTTTCAACAGTGCCTGGAATATTGAATTGACTGATGCTAGCCAGATCTAAAGTACGATATAAGGAATTAGAGAATTTATGCCACCCTTTCCATGTATTCTTACACAACACTGCTAGAAGCCCTATTGCTTCTACTTTCTATAGCACACAAATAATAATGTCTTCCCCAAAAATATGTATTGACTTACCCACTCTTCCCAATTTGCTATCCTTTCAGCCTTTTCCTCAGCTTCTCTATGCTTCCTTTCAGCTTTTTCTTTAGCTTCTCTGGCAAGACATTCCTCAGCTGCTTTGCGTTCCAAACTCTCCTTTTCTTCATCTGTCAAGCCATAATTTCGTGGTTCCCCAATTTCCTTGATGATCTGTTTTACTATAAATCTGTTTTCAGAATCTTCATATTTGGCTACATCTTTAAAACAATACAAGAGAAAACCTTTCAAGACTATTCTCAATTATCAAGCCAGTAATAACTGCAAGACCTAAGTATATATAGTATTAATGCTGTTAGAATTTTCAATTGTTATATGTTGTTTTGTGTTGCTTATTAATGGTTGTTGTGGGTTTTTTTTTTCCCCCAAAGCAAAATGAAATTTTCTACATCTGATTTTCTTTACTAATTTAGGTTAAAATAGTGTGTCTTTCTCAGGAGAAATGTATTAGAATTATTTTTACAACTATTCTGTTTAACACTTGCAGGCTTTTTAAGTTCTGAAGTTTGCAAATGAAGTTATTCTAGTATCAGATATGTTCCTTAGGCCAGTCTTAAATATCACCATATCTACACTACAGGTACAAAACCATCAGCTTCTGAACCTGTATCTCCACGTAGGTTACATAATAGGTTGCTAGCATTAGCATTGGCAACAAACTCCAGTTTTTTCACTCTTGCTTCTCATCTCTTTCACTGATTCAGACAGAAGATACTAAATCATAGCTAATACAATTATTCTAAGCATGCACGTCTGTCATTTGAATCTGAAGTTCGTACTCTGGTGATTAATCAAGGTAGAAATCTAACATGATTCTACATAATGAAATTCCTTTTAGACTTCTTTGTTCTCAATATATTGAGAATTACATTCCTGAAGTATTCCAAACAAGTATTTTTATGCCATCAGTACATAAATTCTGCAATTTTAGCTGCAGCTGGATATAAAAATCACAGTGCAAGACAACTTTTTAATCACTTGAAATACTGCTAAGAACATTCTTGGCATTGAATTTGAGGATTTAAAGAATACAGCCTTTTCTCAGATGACCAAGCAAGACTGCAACATGAATATCACAGCAATCATAATTAAATACATATCTACTAAAGATATATTTTAAATTAAAAAATAAAAACCTTGATTCTAAGGGAGAGAAAAGATCACCAAAAGTCCTCATAAATTAAGATAAAAGGAAACTATTATAACTTGAGTATTCCTTTTTGTAGATCATCTAATATGCACATGCCATTATCTCCACTTTGCAGATGAAAATGACAATGCACAAAGGTAACTGATTTGCAGACTTCATGAAGTGAGTTACTGTAGTGAAATATGATTTCCAGAATCTTAAAGCCTACTTCCTTTGTACTAATCATATTTCAGGCTCGGGAAAAAAAAATATCTTATAATGTAATTCATAAGGCCATATGTTAAGATCTTCTAAGATTATAGTGGAAGAAACATTTGACTAATGTGATTCAGTATTTAATGAATCAACACAGTTCAACCATTTTCCACTAAGGCCAGTAAATACAGACAACTGCCTTCAGAATCTGACTTAAGTCAGTTATCTGTTTAAATCTGATGATATTAATTCAGCACTTCTTATAAACCAACTGCAGCATCAGCCACAATGGAAAAGTATTGACAGAGTTGAAGATTTCTCACAGAAGTTATCTTTGTAGTCAGTTTTTATATAAAGCTATATACTTACCTACTTCAGTGGACAGCAATATACTACTATGCCAGTCCAGAAAGATGGCAAGAGCAGAGGTCCATAAATGATGTCATATAATTAATTTGCCAATTGGACTGCAAAACTGAATGATTAAAACAAAACCTGATCTATAAAACATATTACCTATAGATTCTAATGAATCCGTATGAACATACAGATATTTTTGCAGGTATTTAATTAAATACTTGTTGTATTCTGATATGTTAATGAAAATACTATTTATATATGTAATATACTTTTTCAAATTTAAATTTTGTGACAACAGGAATTTTTATTCATACTTCAGCTAAGAATTTTATTATTTCATACCAATAAACTGAGGATGTATTTCATGTTCATCAAAATAGTTGAGAACAGTTTCATCTTCTGCATTTATCTCCCTGAAGTTATTCAAAGATTGCAGAAACCGGTCCTGAGTATAATGAGTTCCAGCAACAACGCTTTCTGGCAGATTTATTATTCTGTTTTTAAGAAATTCATCCGATGCAGTCAAAGATATCACAAATTCTGTGAAGAAGAACACATTATCCTTGACTTTTCCTCTTTCACATCTATCTTCTTTCAATAATAAATTTGAAGTCACAAATGAACACAAATAGATACATAATGTAAATATAAACCAACAGCTGATGGCATTTTCACAAGAAGGGAATAAGAAGAACACATAAAGCAAGTCAAAACTCTCATTTTCATTAATTGCTCGCTTTCAAATATTACAGCAACCATGTTTCATGAATAAGACATTTTGTTTATCTTCAACGTAACATGAACAGATTGAGTGATATTTTGGACTTCTTGTTGGTGACAGCAATATTTGAAAGCGCTTTTTTTTGTTGTTGTTTATTTGTTTGTTTTTAAGTCAAACTTACCAGGTGTGATTATTTCATCATATTTAGGAATTTTGTTTGTAATTTCTTCTTCTTCCACTAAAACAAAAATAATATGTAATTGAGATTATCATTTGAAGTAGCAATACTTTTGTATTTACAAATAACTTCTCCTATACAAATACCGTTTAAAAAATAATTCCCAACAACAATGATAATTTGAATAATCTGAACTGTACACTGCATTAGAGAGAGCTGTTAAGGAATCCATGCTTTCAGCCACCACAAATTTATCACAGGACACTAATAGCTGTTTAACTATTCAGCAAAGCATTCTTTTGCATATGCAGTTACAAAATATGTCCATACTACTTTTCTGTCCCTGGCCTCTCCTGCTGCTTTATATTTTCCTACACCAAAGAGACACAGCTTGGAACAGTGTGCAGAAATGGCTTGGAACGGTGTGGTTAAAATAGTTTATGATGCTGTCTGCTCTACTCCACCAGTTGGCTCAACTCCTTGATGAGTATCAGCTGAACAAGGTGGTTTATAACCAACCACATTAAGATGAACAAGACTAGATTTTGTTTTTCTTAAAATCCTATCCTTTAATTTATGGAGTTGATTCTTGCTTTTCATACACAGACAGTGCTGGCTAACATTTGAAACATATACTGCAGAATTCCACTTATGTTTCATCCCTTGAAGCTCATGTAATACACCCACTCTAACTCACAGAACATGAACTGGCGGAACCCCCTCACTAAGTAGCTCTTGTATATTATGAAGAAAAATCTGTCTTAAAGCTTTCTTGTGTAGAGTGGTTCAACATGGAAAGTATCGTTCTTATTTGTGTATTTATTTAGTATGTTGCCAGCCAAGGTCATTTCAGAAACATCTTGCTTAATATGTTTAACAATCCATTACAATCCTTCTTAAATTTTTAAAGCATCACATGAAAGCAACTGTGTTCTGCTCTGCAGTCAAAACAGTGTTGATACACTTAAACTAATAAGATACTGAGAAAAATAGAAGTTATGACAGTACTAGCAGCAATAAAAACAAAAGCAGAAGTACTTACAGTTAAAAAGATCTTTTGCCTGGTCATAGGTCTTTGGAAACCCATCCAAAACATACCCTTGATTTCTACAAGGCATAGATTTAAGCTTATCTTTAAAGAGTGTAATAACATACTGATCATCTAGACGACCTAAAACAAAAAGAAGGTTATTAAGTACCTAGCTTATGGAAAAAAAAAGAATATCTGAAATTATTCTACTAACAGTTCTATTCATTTAGAAGAGACAATTTTTTAGACTACAAAAAAACCCATATTTTAAATCTCTACGTGCTGTTAAAGGTTTATAGAATATAAAGCTATATATGGATAGCTTTTGTATTTAGAGAATATAAAGCTATATATGTAGCTATAAAATTACAACTATATAAATGTTGCAATCATACAAACATTGGAGCTTTAGGGATACAAAACATGAAATTAGATATTTTAGAATAATTCAGTTGGACTTTTATGTAAAAAGAAAAGAAAAAAGCATGTGACAAACCAAATGTTTTATTTTTACAACTAACAGAATTAAAGACAAAATAAAGTGAAGTAGGCTTTACAAGTTCTGTTTACAGATAAATAGACTGAGAGATAAAGTAACTCATCAATTTAAGCTACATATTGAGAAAGTATACCATAGTAAAAAAGTTTGTTGTTACCTAGTTTTTACCCTCTTGCAACCATTGCCTCCAGTTTCCTATGTTGTTTTGCTTCAGCTACTAGTAGCATTAATTTATAATAGTTAAGACTATCTTTAAAATCTGTTACATATTAAAAGGCATTATCATTTTTAACAACAAAATAGGGCGTGAAGACTAAATACTGCCAGTACTCTTCTTTCTTACTGGAATACTTTACTTCACAAATTCAACACTGACATACTTCACCTTTTACTTTGAATTATTTAAAATGTGCACTCTGTTCTGAAAAAAAAAAACAAAAAAAACCAAAAAAAAAACACCTGACAAAAAAAAAAAAAAAAGATCTGGCTAAGGATCTAAAGATACTGAATACAGAGTGATTACATATACATACGTATACGTATACACACACACACAGATATATAAATACAATTGAGTGAAAAAAAAATATAAAATATATAAAGAAGTAGAAAGATAATGCCACTTTAGTACTTACTATTTCCTACCTGCATTCTGCTCCATGCTTTCTTTAATTCCAGCTAACAACTCATGTGCTTCTTCTACATTTTCACCCTCTTCTTCATCATCTTCTCCCTCTTGTCTCACACTGTCTGAGTCCACTTCTTTAGGAGCCACAATTCTCTCCTGAAAGTGAGATGAGAAACGTGAATTGGCTCAGAAATTCTATGGCCAAATTTTCTCACATACATTGATGTAATAAAAAACCAACCCCTCCCTCTCCCCCACCGCCCCCCCCCCAAAAAAAACAAACACCACCACAACAACCAAACAACCAAAAAAACCCATGTATACTCCTGGACAATGAGATACTGAGTAATGTGCAGTCTTGTAAAAGGATTTTTGAGTCTAAGTTCAGTGCATCCCCAAGAATCAAAAGCATGTCAAAAATGTTTCTATTCTAAAGTCTGAAATGTTTTAGTAATGTATTTTTCAGGTCAGAAAAGGAGACAAGAATGTGTGTAATGCCAACAGTCATCAGTATATTGTCATTTCTCAAAACATTTTGTTGGAATATGATTACTGCCTTTGGTCATTCTTAAATACTAAATTATGGAGTTCATGTTCATTTCAAATGATGCCAAGCATCTTAAAGTCACACACCAGTTTTGCAATTGATTCGGAAATCACATCTTTAATCTTAATATGATGCAGCTTGTAGTGTTTGCAGATCTCTTCAGCAATGGTAGATTTGCCAACCCCTGGAGGACCATGAATGTAAATTTTGAGAGGCTGAGAAAAAAAATGATGAAGATGTAACATCATTCAAACAATACAGATTTTTTCTTTATATAAAATGAACAATTTTTCCCTATTGCTAATAGGAAATAACTAATCATTTAAACTAAAAATATGTTTTAGATTAATTCATAGTATAAGCATCATCGATATCATCCACTGCCTTTGAGTAACAGTTAATTTAGCAGTACAATGTCAATTCAATTTTCAATTATCTTCACTTATTTTATGTCACTATCAGTCTTTTATGTATTCTTACTAAAAGAAATGAAAGCTTATATTTGTATAACCATTTCTGTTTGAAAAAAAAAAAGAAAATGAGCACTTGAGAATAGCATATACCAAACCATTACCAGAAGTCCTCGACTTTGCTTGTACTCTTCAACAATCTGTTCAATGTTCTCCACCAGCCCTGTTTGAGCAACCCACTTTATGTTGAAAGCCTCTTTCAAAAACACAGCTTCCATCCGCAGGTTCACAAGCAACATATCCACATGAGTTTGCTGAAGGAGCAAAACAACGTTTATTTAACGTATGTAAGCTCTGCGTCTTAAAAGAATATTGTTGGCTTCAAGTAGAAACTAGAATGGAGGGCAGAGAACAGAAAGAATTTAAGCACAGGGAAAGCAGGTTTGCGTGCAAACATTTTAAGTTTTTTTTTTTTTTAATATATATTTTCCACATATATTTAAGTAATGTCAAAACACACACCACTGAGCAATTTTTCAATACTACTCAGAGGTCTCATACTGTCCACAGGAAAAAAAACATTATTTCAGAAATTCATTAAGGGCAATCTTAAAAATAGCAGGATTCTAATGTATTTATTTCACATATGAACAGTTTATTCCAGATAAGCAGATGAAGACATCTTAATTTACATATACTGTGTTTATCATGCCCATAGTACTTCATTTTATTTACAAATTATTATTTTCCTCTAGGTTTCATCAGCATGCTCTAGTATGCTTAGTACACCACCAACATCATTGCTTCACTGCTTTTCTAGATCAAGCTATAATTCCTTAAAAAACATGTTTGTTTGCTTATTTTCTATGCTTATTTCTAGCCATATTTTAGAGTTATATTTTTTGACTGAAATTATATATATATATATATGTGTGTGTGTGTGTGTGTATTTCATGATATGATACACCTAAATTTAAATTCTTCCATTATGTAGAAAAAGGAAAAAAAACAAAACAAAACAAAAAACTAACCGTTAACTCTTTACTTAAGAATGCATTTTCGTGTGGAATCTTCTCAATTTTCCCTGGTCCAACATGTTTACTGATACACTGTTAAGAAAATAAAATAGTAATACATATATTCAGTCAGATTATTAGGGAAAAAAAAAATTCTAGAAATAAAAAGTATCATTTTTATTTTATGTCACACTATATCTGAAAAATCAGTATACTGATATGATTTACTGATCAAAGAACATTATACTAACTTTAACTTTTGTGTTAGTATTACACAGATCTTTTTCACTATATATCGCCTCCTCTTCAGTGCTTGCAACAAACCCCAAAACAGATAAGTGTTCCAAAGCTCTTAAATCTATGTAATTTCTTATTGCTTAAGATCAATTATGAGACCTATTTTATCTCTCAGCATTTTCACTTCAGATTCCTTACATGTTTAATTCTGTTAACAGTCATGAAATGTTTTCAGATCAATGGAACACCATCAGCTCTCCATGCTACTATCTCCAGTTCATCATTAAATAGATGTTAATTACTAAAAAACAGACGTAAAAACAGATTTCAAATAAACACTAGATTCCATAAAATCATGAAAACTGCTATCAAATTTACACGTATTCTAGTATTCTGTCTCAAAGAGTTTCAATTAACGGATACCTAAATGAAAGTAAGAATAGGAAAAATATGTGATATCCTTTCCAAGTATCTCTTCAACTATTTTCAGTTCAGAGACTTCCTGAATTAGAAATACCTATCATACATTTAAGTAACTCTCACCTACGTACCTTTCCGGTCTTCCTCTGAGCTGATACAGTTCCCTGACAAAATAGCTCTTTGCAACACTCTCTACAATACTAGCAACATCTTACCATCGCAAAAACTGTCAATTTACAACTGCCCTCAGTTTACTATTCTGTAAACAAACACATAGTCACGAAAGGACCCTCCTAACTTTCATTGGGGAATCTATATCAATTCATTCTACAGTATTCCCTATACCTACTTCAGTTTAATAAAGAACCCCTAGCAAGTCATACACAGATGTCTTCAAGCATTAAGATGCTTCACAGCTTGAACTGGTGATTGAGCACATGGTGAAAGGGCATGTCTTTGCCTAGGGAGCACAGGCAAATTGTTTGCACCTGTGTTCCTTCATGTGCCCAGAAGGGTGGACCCAAAGTGGAGCCACGCTGGGCTCATTTAAGAATCAGCCACTGCTGGAAGAGCTAAATCTTTAGGATTTAGGCTGCTTCCTCAGGAATGCTGCAGGGTGAGAGAGTCCCTTTACCAGTTGAGTGAGTTCAGCTCTTCTTTCTGCGTGTGATTATTGGCCTACCTACAAATACTGTGCCTAGTGTCACTAAGAATCTGTCTAAAGAAATTTTGCTTTTTTTGTGAGCAGAACAGCTGTTAAAGTTAATTCTGTAGCATCTGCCCCAAGCAATACATTTTGTTTAAAGAACAGAACCCTTAGAGGACTCCAAAATTATTTTATTTTTTATTACACAAGATAATTTGGGGAAGCCTAGAGACTTTTACTTATATAAAAATGTCTAGTTTTAATAATACTGTAGGTACCTGAAAAACAAAAATTCCTTACCTTTATTAATTCTTGAAAAGTGTGCACAGACTCATCTACTGCAAGTATGTAGTGAAACCTTGGCCTGTGGTCTGCTATGTTTTGTAACACCCTAGAATGTAGGAGGTACAGTTAAGGCTAGTAGTTTGAGAAGCATATTGGCCTTTCCTTGTGAGATGTGTTTCAGAAGCAGTCCTAATACAAAGTTGTTTTCATGTATATTTTCCTCAATAAAGAAGCACAGATAAGAATTTTTTTGTAAGGAAGATCTAAGGATAAAAAGCAACACCTTTACAAAATAGTAACTTAAGCTGTAGAGTCCATGATCCATTTTCAGTTCTGTACCCATTAACTGATACTGTGCTTTATGTACAGTGCAGCAAGAAATCTCTTAACTGCATAGCATCCGTGCAACACATATGTAAAGTTTCAAGAAGGCACATCTAGGATTGAAGAAACTGAACTCTCTGTGTACTCGAAAAGAAGAGACAAATAGCTTTCTTAAGCCCAATTTAAAAGTCTTGGTGCTCTTCTAATAGGTTTGGAATTGTTACCTAGTTTGTTATCAATGACTGTGCAAGTGAAACATTATTTACTTACCCTGCTAAATCACGAACATGAATAGTTGGAATATAATTGTTTCCATTTCCAAAAACAGGTATTGCATTAGTCTCGCTAAGCCAACCTATCTGAAAATAAAAGTGGATAATGAAGTTAGAAGGAAAAGGTATTTGTGTACTGGCACATTTACGTATTCAAGATTTTAAAATTCAATTTATGGAATGATTACTGGACCACAGTAAACAACTCTGAGTATAGTAGCAGCCTACAAAAAAAACCAAACTTTTTTAAAGAAAACTCTTTGGTTCTGCCACATGTTATTTTTAATACTTTGTAATAAAAATAAGAACAATGAAAAGACTTTTTTTCTCATTGCATCGATGAGATGGATACGTTCTGATTGCAGAGTGCAAATGGAGATACTGTTAAAAAGTTATGGAGAAGCTAAAAAACATACACAGCCAAAAGAGTGGAAATCACTTTAATTATAGCTAAAACTGTTATCAAAGGGATCAAGTAATAAATTCCATTCACAGGAACATTAAGCCTATGATATCAAAACTATTATACATGTATTTAATTCCAATGCAAATTGCCCTTAAATATTAGACAAACCTTCAAACATACTTGGATATCTACCTTAAAAAAATAGTGTAAGACTCCTTCCTCAGCTCCATACTGAATTCCTGAAGCAACAACATAAGTTGAAAATGCTTGTTTGTTCTGTGAAGTAAAATTAACAAGAGTTTTATAATAAGATGGTATTGCTAATGGAATACTAGCTCTTGAAAACTTGAGAACTTGTATATCAAATGTAGAAAGTATTTAAATCATCTCTCTTTAAAATTTGGAGCTAGATCAATCATTGCATAGCTGCTAGTTTTGTCAGTCTTACTGGTAATATTTCCTTAAAAAACAAACAGACAAAAAAGCTCAGAATTGGTGTATCTGCATTTGAGCTGAAATTATAAAAGATTCTTAAAAGTTAAGAAATTGGAAGTTAGGTACATCAGTGAAGTGATCAGAGTAAAATACACTTCCATTTTCTTTTTCCAAGAAATATAACTAAAATTTGTGGAAGTTCTTTCCTAATTGTATTGTTTGTATTTGATTGCCTACAGAACTGGAAAATGGGAGTCCAATACTTCTGTAATTGTTTTGCTTTAATTGTGATATAAAATCTTAAACAAAATCAGTAGACTATAAAGTGTTTTCCTACCCATACAACATGGTCAGCCCTTGTATCTTTTTGCTGACCATAAATACCAACCTGGTCATAAATTTGCCTGTTCTGGTTGACTGTTTATGTAAAATGATACTGCTTTGATCACTAGTGAGAATGGTTACATACACAGAAGAAACAACATTTAAATCACCCTAAGGAGAGAAATTTCTAGCAAGTCTTTTAATGGAGGACCACTTAGACATTTTTAAGTTGAAACAAGATTGTCAAATAATTCTGGTTTTCTACAGATCTCAAACTTGCACTTACCAACAGAGAATAAACATCTAGATTTTTGCATGAGAAAAAAAAATATTTTGCTACAGTCTTCATATTATTTCAGAAATATAAAACAATGAAGTCTGTTAGCCAGTATTGGATTGTATAATTAAAGCATCATCTACAGAGATGCCAGGTATATATCACTATACTGTATCTGTGTAATGCATTTGTATATTTCTGCTACAAAATAAATCTTTGTAATAAAAACTATTTCAACTCAATTGAACACAGCAACTTGTTATTAATCACATGTAATATTACAATCAGAAGTTATTATAGATAACACAAGTTCTCCTCCACTAACTTTTCTTGAGTAGATAGAAACTATTTATAACCTAAGAACAGCTGCTCCCAGGTTTGTTCTGGACAGACTGCACATGTGCTCCAGGAGAAGGTACACTAATTTCTGTTTCCCAGCAGGAAAAACCTGACCCTTGTGAAAGCATAGGAAAGGCCATTTCTCATCTACCCAAAAAGCAGGGAGGCAGTAGGCCATTTTATCACTGACCTTGCAGTAGGTTCTGCACTACTTATGGAACACAAACCACAGTTCATCACCCAGAGAAATACAAAGCAGTAAAACAGATCCAATTCCTTACAAAAACAAACAAACAAAAACTATATAGTGGCACGAGTCACACATCTGAATTTACTACTTGAGATCAGTTGGATATATGTCATGAATAAAATGAAGCGATGATTTGGTAAGCTCCAGTTACACACAACATATTCAGTCACTGTTAAAAATGTTCAAGTTACCATGTAATTTTCATTGAAGCCACTAGATGTCACATTTCAGCTATTATAATCAGCCCTGGGCTTGGCTGTTCTGTTTGATGGTTAGTTTCATTCTAATAAGAAGTTCCAAGTGAGAATGGCTTTAAATTGATGGGTTCAGGATCTGGGCTGCCATTGAGAACAGAGCTGGGAGATGAGCTATCTGTGGTAGCAGATGTTTTTTTGGGATTCTGAACTCATCAGTACCTCTGAATCAGCAGCTTCTCTCAGAAAAGCTGCATGCCGTATCTTTTTGCTACAAAGAAAGAGGTAAAAATCTTTCTTACGCTTGAGATTTCCCCACACAAGCTCCAGTTTTAATCCTCTCTTGTACAACCAACATAATAGCGTTGTTCTTTTTTTAAATTGAGATAAGCATGATTTACTCAGTAGATATTGAAAAATAACATTGGGATCTGTATTATGAATTCTGTAATTTAAATATAACTATTATGTATTAATTCTAAAACACGGCCTTTTCTATGCTTAGCTTTTTATTACTAAGGGATGATATTCACATTTATCAATGCACTACAAATTTAATCAAATACTTGATAACTTTCATTATTAAGATAACACAGTAGGATGACTTCAGTGTGTTTTTGTTTTTCAGTTTTTGTAAAGAGGCTTATTTAAAAACAAACAAACAAACAAACAAACAAACAAAAACAGAAAAAGTCTTAACATACATTTTTTCCAAGTTTGAGAACAAGTTTTTCAGCATTTATGTGATCCATAAAGTTAGGATGAGGTTTTCTTCTACGATAATCTTCCTCAGTAAAAGGAATCTCGGAATCCTCCTAGGAAGAAAAAAAATGCAACTGTTATACAAGTCATACAACTGAATATTTTTTAAAAGCCTATATGTTTTAAAAGAAGTTGTTAAAATATTTTTTTAAATCTCTTTTTCTTTCATTTGAAATGCTTAGAACTTCTAAAGCTGATACTTGAGAGAGTATGTCCAAGCAGTCCTAATGTCTGCCCATCATAGTATCTCATTGCCTATGCTTTTCTGTTTGGTGGAATAGATTTAACAGGTCGAGCTCCCACTTACCAATGGGTATTGAAGTGAAAGGTCCACAAAGAAAAAATATACTTCATAATAGCAGATGAAGTTAGTGTTTTTGAAGTACACACTGCAGTACTTTAAATGAAATTAACAAATAAATCAAATGGAAATATTTATTCATTTATTTTCCATTAAATGGAAATGGTAAGAGAAGAGTGTTCTCTCATATTACTTACTGGGTCAGGGGGGTTGCTTTTTGCCCAACTCATTACTGTTGAAATGAGGATGAATGTTTTTGGTGCTGCAAAATGCTCTATTTCCATATGTAGGGCTGTTAAATGAAAGTAAAGGATTAAATCTATTTAGACTAAATTACACAAATGTTATATTTTCTTTTGGCCCTGTATATATACATTTATGCTATAGTGCTATGTGTTCAGTGTTTTGAAGTAAATACCCTTTATTTTGCTTGGTGTAAAATAGAAATGAACCAATGATAAAAAGAAAGCAAATAAAAAATAATGTGTAACCGTGTGGTCAGTAATTAACATAATCTATACAGAGCTATGTATCACAGAAAAAGAAACAAAGAAACAATGTATACTAGAAAATGCTTCATCTTTATTGACAGCTGAGATACTGAAAGAAGTGTGCTTGTTGTAACTGAAACAGCTTGTCTACAAAATTCAAGGAAGTTTCTTTAATTCAGAGCAAAACTATTAAACAGCAAGCAGGAAAGAAGAGCTTAGTTTAACTAAACTTAAGAGGAAGAGCAATATTGCACTGTCACCATAAAATGATTCCAGACACCATTAGAATTTGGTTATGACCATTAGGAGAAAGGTGTAGAAAAACTGTTAATGATATTTTTAATAACAGATTTAAGTAAAAATCTGTTAAGATCATAGAATCATATAATGGCTTAGGTTGACAGGGACCCCAAGGATCATCCAGTTCCAAACCCCTGCCATGGACCTCCAGATCTGGTACTAGGCCAGGTTGCCCGGGGCCGCATCCAACCTGATCTTGAACACCTCCAGGGACAGAGCATCTACAGCCTCTCTGGGCAGCCTGTTCCATTACCTCACCACTATCTCTGTGAAAAACTTCCCTCTGACATCCAATCTAACTCTTCACGCATTGACTTTAAAACCATTCCCCCTTGTCCTATCCCTATCTATCCAAGTAAAAAGCTGATTCCCCTCCTATTTTATAATCTTTTAAATACTGGAAGTCTGCAACGAGGTGTCCTTGTAGCCTTCTTTTCCCCAGGCTGAACAAGCCCAGCTCCCTCAGCCTATCTTTATAGGTGAGGTGCTCCAGACCTCTGATCATCTTCGCGGCCCTTCTCTGGACCCTCTCCAACAATTGAGATAATTAGATAAAACATAGAAACATTGAAGGTGGGTAAAAATTTTCTCCTGTGAGCAAATACAAATGGATAAGATGACAGTAAATTTTTTTTTTTTAAATAGCTGTCCACACAGCTATGTTGCTTCAAGTTGGACCATCCTATGACCAAGGAGCGATGGGCCATGGAATGCACATGAATTAACTGAACAATTCATGCATCATTTCCCCAGCAAGGAATCCAGTTTTATATTATAGTGAACTATAAATTACAGGTTAATTTGTTAGACATCTACAGTAAACTTTAGTGGCTGTATAGAAAACAGTTTTCTGTTCAGTTGATAGCTGTACTAACCAGAAGCAGCCCATGTTGCTTCCTCGATTTGGTTTGCATCCTCAGTGATATTATATAAAATAATGTCACATTCAAGCAAATAGCTTAAGAGCTCTTTCTGAGAGGAGACCTGAGGGAAAAGAATAGTTAAAAACTGTTTATTTAAAAAAAAAAAAAAAAAAAAAAAAAAAAAAAAAAAAAAAAGAAGGAAAAAACCTAATATACAAAATTCTTTTTCAAATTTAGAAATGGTAGAATGCAGTTTTCTTGCTGTACTCATGTCAAACTATTTGTCAGTGAAAAGTAAAGCAACTGAATGCAAATTAATTGCTGAAACTTCTGATTTACAATTCACATTTACATAGTTCAAAAGGACATGCAATTTTAGGATTTGTATTTTCAGTATACTTGTTAATATCACAAATATATCTATGGCTTCTATAGCCATTTTGAACAAGAATCGGGTGGCAAAATGGAAACACAGAAAAATCAGTTTCCTTACAAAACAACATCCCATCTTTTTGCTAACACAGATTGTGTGCATCACTCAAACAAGTCCAACAAACATTCTGTATGACAGCAGCGCTTGAGATTACATAGTTACCCATATTTACTTTTTATTAAAATAAAGACTCATCTGTCTTTATTAATAGAATTTCAGATCAAAAGGCTCATATTTTTGAAGAGATTCTGGATAATCAACTTGATGGTTACAAACAATTTTGGTTTCAGAAAATAATAATAAAGCCTCCTTCAGTTAACTGAACTTTGGATGTACATGCAAAAAGTATGTATTTGGAACAGTTAGCTGCTAGTGACAGCTGTTATGCCAGTGAAGTGTTAAGGAGGGAAGATGCTTTGTTCACGGTACTACTATGTTTAGAAGGTGATATAGAAGGTATGGGAGAGACAACATTGTGTTTTGAGGGAAAAAGAAAACAGATCTGCGGGTGATCAGGGTAGACAACATGTCCAGAACTGTTATTTTATTTAAAAAATAATCTTTTTTTAAGACTGGCTCCCTTTGTTTTAACATTTGTTATATCTGAACAAACAGGGAGGAGATGACAGGGTGCAGAGGAATAAACATGTGTAAAACTTCCTGCAACAATGGGAGAACACTTCATTAATGAGGATCATTTACGTGCCTTGCAATATTTATAATGCTGTCTAACAATGACCTGAAATAAGGTTACGACTTACTGCATATGTTTCCTCTGCAAAGCGTGGTTTAATACTCTCTGGCTTAGAGAGAGTCCCCACTATTTGGTAGAGTCCCTCCTTTGGCTTCCTGGAAACTTCAGCCTCCGAGCGATTCTCACTTTCCTCCTCCTCTCCTTCCACGCTTTCTAGCGACGCTCCGACAACACAACTGGATAAATACTGAAACATACAAGACGCACATTTGTCTCCCCCCCCCTCCCCCCCCCGGGTCCCCGCTGCACTGCCCGCCGCGGGCCCCTTCCCCAACCTCGCCGATGCTGCGGCCGCAGTAGGAATCGAGGTGGTTGAGGAAGATCCGCCGGCTCCGCGCAGCGCCCGCCGCCATGGCCGCAACTGCGGCGGCGGCGACGCGACCCGTTGCTAAGGGCGGGAAGCGCTGGGCGGAGGCTTGCGCGGCCTTGCCATCACCTCCCGCTCGAGGGCCTTCTGCAGGGGGACGTTATTCCCAACTTCCTGACAGCGGTCAGGGCAAGATTTAGTACTGCTGAGAGAAAAAAAAAAAACAAATGTTGTAAGGCTCTGTTTTATGACATCTGTTCCAGCAGCAAGGAGGCTTTGAGGTGGTCTGTCACTGGTAACTCGTACTAAGCAATACCATGCTTTGATCACAGAACCACAAAATTGCAGCGGTTAGAAGCGATCTCCAGAGATTGAGTCCAGCCACATCCCCCGTGGTGATGATTCTTGTAGTAATACATCATGTTAAAACTTCCAGAAAAGTGCAGTTCACAGATTTACAGCTGCATTAAGCCAAGAGCTCATTTGGCTTCAGAAAATATGAACAAATTGTTTTAAGGAGAGCAACTGAAATTATCTACTGTCCGTGCTTCAAAGCAGCTCTGTGTAGGTGCAAATTCCGAATATAAAGAATGGAGAGCACTTCCTCCTTAAGCCCACAGCCAAACACGGTGGAATGATGTCGCTCTCTAATTTTTAATACCCCGTTACCTTCTAAGAAAAAGCAGAGAATTCTTCCAGAACATCTACAAACTGTATGCTATGCAAGTAGTTCTCAGCTTAGCTTTATAATAAGCACTTGTAATGACAAAGCATTTTTAAGTTGTCTAAGGAAAAAAAACCTGGCAGCGCAACATTAATTCTGGCATTTTTTCTACTTGTCATTCTCATGCTTCCTTTCCAAGAACCTCTTTACAGTTGTCTGCTCTGTCCTTCCAGGACAGTTTCATTGGAGATAAATTTACAGTCAAAGGTACTTTTGAAATACTTGTTAATAATCTGGTAGTTAAGATGTGTCTATGGAAATAATCATTTTGGTTGTTCACTCCCCTCTCTTCCCTTCCCACAAAAATCACTAACACACTGGTGCATTTATTTAATGCTTTAGTCATTTAAATTGAACAAGGAAATTAACTGCAAGGGAAAATATTCAAATATAAATTTGGTAAAGTACATTCTCCTCACAGAGGACTAACCACATGCCACAGACCTGTGTGCAAAACAGAGCCTATGAACAAATTTTACAGCAGAGGTTCTTACCTAGGATCAAAAGATTATCATCAGGAATATCAACCTAACAAGATAATTAAACAAACATCAAATTAAGCTGTAGAAAATTGAAAAAATGTCTGTGGTTATCTCACCAGTCACAGTTATAACATCATTACCCCAAAACTATTCTAAAAAATCCAATGTTTGCCTTCTCCAATTAACACTGCTACTCCTTAACAGGTGTAAGTCAATACAGCTCTACTGAAGTCAATAGAATTTGTGAGTTCACAAGGACTGACATGTTCTTAAACTCCAATAAAGATACAGATATACTTAGCACAACAGCATGACAGAATAAATCAAGATGCACAAATGTTGAATAATACAAGAATACAAGAAGTATCATGGTCATAGAATGCTAGTTCAGAAGTCCTAGTATTTCTAAGTAACAGTATTTTTTTTTAAAAAAAAAAGTCTATCACTCAATACATACTTGAAAAGTTAAAGCAATATGTTATAAAGAGATTTGTACCAGTTTTTAAGTAGAAAACACAAGTTATGTCTTCCAGCTTGTGTTAGTCCTAATAAATTTCATACCTTTGGTTTCAAACCAATACAATGCAATCAGTATTACAATGCATACTTGTATTCATTAGGAGAGGATACTGTAAAATCGAGGAAGAAAAAACAGGACTACCAAATTACTGTGTTGTAGAAAGTAAAGGCTGAAGCAAAAATAGTCTGGGTATATATATCCTGCACATTATGTAAACACACATTCAGAACAGTAAACAAGATAAAATGTCTTCCAAATCTCCCAAAAAGTTACAGTATAGCATACATACATCATCCTTAAGGAATGTAGCCTGTTACATCCTAACCTACTTCTGTGCTTAGCTCATTTGCAATTCAGACAATACATTCATATAGTAACGTAGATCATTCACTCTTTGGAGTTTGTTGCTCGTTGTAGACGAGGATGGATCAAGTACCTTTTAGCTCAGATACTGTCATTATATAAGCAACGCTCAACTGCTCAAGAGCTTTCTTGTTATCAAAACTCAGAACTTTCAGATTTATGCATAGCAAATTGGTGTGAAAGTCTATTTCACATTTTGAAACTGAAGTTAACTGCTTGTTTTATTTCATTAATTTCAATTAACAGACAGTAATTAGGTGGTTAACTTCCATGTTAAAATCAGATATGGCAATAACCTGTAAGCACAAAAAATGATTATTAATTGCCTATATAACATTTATTCTCTACATTTTTTCAAAAGCTTTTGATAGTAACACTTTGAACAGAGATCAAATATTTTTGAACATTTTTGGAAAAAGTTATAAGCTCACCTACAACAAAAAGAAAACACTGATTAGTTTTACAGTCTATCCAAGTGGATAGCACTGTGATATGCATAAATCTTCTGCAGCAACATTTTATAGAACAGTTCTAGTATGTATTAGATATCAACACAAGAAATGAATCTTTAGACGTTTGCAGCTGCATTTGTAACAAAGATCTCAGAGCCTTGTACAAATAATTCCTTCTAGTCTTAAATCTTCCTTCAGAGCACATCATGATTGACTATCTCTCTTCAAAGCTTCCAGTCTTTGTAGTAATGCATTTCCAAACACCTCCCGATACGCAGGGCTGAGTGTGTCCAATAAGGAGTAGACAGTTTCATGGTATGGGTTTTGCAAACTGTCATCAGTCTGATCAAAATCATAAGCTACTACCTGCAACAAAGAAATCACTGGTTATTTTTTTGTGATTAGAATCACGTTGCAATGAGAAACAGGTATCACAAAGTTTAGCTTTGCCAGTTGTACAGTAGTATAAAAAAAAAACAACAACATTGATTTAAATTTCTGTCTATGCTTTCTACTGGGGGTCTTACTGGTAACACAGTATTTAGACTGTTTCAAATGCTTTTTTCTCAAGCTTCTAATAGCAGTAATATCCATCGCTATCACCTTCTTACTTCTACACATTTGCAGAAACAATATGAATGGTCCAGAATGGATTTGTACATACACTATGTTACTCATTTTTCTAAGCACCTGTGAAGACTGATGTGCTCATAATAAACTTGTCCATTAACTGCTTCAGCCCTCATTATTTTGCAAGTGTCTCAAATAAATGCCTATTTTCCAACCAACTTCCCTTCTTCCTTTGTTTGCATTAACAGAAGTGCCACTTTGTAGGGGAACACATAGAACTGACTTTCATAAAAGTACAAGAGGATATGTATGCAGTTTTGGTATCAGTGAAGTTGCTTTCTAGGTACCTTCTGAACAGGAACATCATTTAAAATGGAGACAGTTTATAAACAAGGTAGTTTACCCTTAGTCCCGAGTCAGTGAGCTCCACACAGTATCTGCCCCTTTCCCTGGTTTCCACGTTTATATATGCCACATCCTCTGCACACGGAAGGGTTTTTGAAACAAACATGTTGCTGACAGCAAACAGAACATCATTCACTACAGCTTCAGCTTCTAGTCTCATGTCTTTCACATCTGCTTCTTCGAAGTCTCTATAATCAGAATCCTCTTCAGACTCTGCGTTATTGGTCAACTCCATAGGAGTGCAGTCAGTTTCCATTCTGCATGTGGAAGCATTTTTTTTAGATTCATCATCCCACTACAGTCAATATTGAACATTTACACAAAGCTTGAGCTACAACTTAAGTAAATGTATTTACTATTGGAAAATAAAATAAAATAAAATAAAATATGAAAGCGAATGAATCCTGCAGCAATCCAGAAAAGTCAAAACAAAGCTCCTGAAAACTTCAGGTTATGTCAGCACACGGAAGCATTACTGAAGGAGTTGCTGCCTCCTACACAAGCAGCTCACGCTGTGTCATATAAGTCTCCAATATGATTCAGCAGTAACTAATTCAGCACTTCGCTGATCCCGAATGCACCGGGAAAACCAAATTAGGTACGAAAAAGACACAACCAATGGCTGTTGAAAATAATAACCTACTATCCGTGAATTTAAGAAAGACTTACGAGGGCCTGCGAACTAAAGGGGTTATCAGTAATTACGAGGGCAGAACAAGAACAGCAGTTTTCTGTTCAGCCTCGCTAAAGAACGACTCGCTCACTCGGTTTATCACACACAACTATCAGCACAGCCCAGAAACGTCAGACGAGGGCAGGCTTCGCGGCCAACTCCCAGCAGCGGGAGAGCCGGTCGTAGAGCTGCCGAGCTTTCGCTCCTCGGAGAACTGCTGCGATTTAACCGCGCTCACAACGCGTACAGATCCCGGCAGAACAGTGCGGCGGGACCGGAAGCCTTCCTCCCACCTCACCCCGAGGCAGCCCACCTACCAGCCCCGGCGCCCAGCCCCACACCGCTGCGGCGCTAGCCGCCCTGCCGTCCCGCCGAAGCGCGGCCGCCCGCTCGCCACTTCCTCTCAGCTGCCGCCGCCGCCGCCGCCGCCCCCCGGCGCGCCTCCCACGACCGCTTCCGCCCCCGCCTCCTCCGCTCTGAGACGCCACTTCCGCCCTGCGTCACGGTGCCGGTGACGGCGCTCGGCGGGGTGGGGGAGGTTCGCGGAGGAAGGCGGCGAGCGGTTCGCGTCGTTCCGACCCGGCCGTGCCAGCGGCGGGAGCTGGCGCGGCGAACGGCCCCAGCCGCTTCCCGGTCCCTTCCCGCCGCCATAGCCCTCGTGCCGTGCGGCGCCGCCGTCCCCTCCGCGCTCGCGGGGCGCCGGGAAGATGGCGGCGGCGGCGGCAGTGGCCGAGTGAGGATGGAGCTACCTGCGGGCGCCTGAGGGCAGGCGGTGCCGCCCCGCCAGCCTTGCGAGGGGCGCTGGGAGAGCCCGGCTGCGGGTAACCCGCGCTGAGGGGCGGGCCCTGGCCCGGCCGCTTCCGCGCACCCCATCTCCGAGCGGCCGCCCCTGGCCCCAGCCCCGTCCCGATCCCGGCCCTGCGGCTCCCAGCGCTCAGCCACCATGCCGTGGCCGTTTTCAGAGTCCATCAAGAAGAGGGCCTGCAGGTATCTGCTGCAGAGGTACCTGGGCCACTTCCTGCAGGAGAAGCTTAGCCTGGAACAGCTCAGCCTGGATCTCTACCAGGGCACCGGCTCTCTGACGCAGGTCCCTCTGGACAAGTGGGTAAGAGACGCCTCTGTGCCCGAGGAACCCGCCGACCGCTGCCCTCGTCTGCACCCGCCCGGTGCTCTGTCCTCGTGACCCGGTTTTGTTATTGATGACAGGAAAGGGGGAAAAGTGTTGGCAGTGTAACTAAAGGAAGGCGAGAGTTGGTGGCAGGGAGGAGGAGGAGCTAATATTACCCAGGCTACCAGCAATCACTCCTGTGACTGCCGAGGATCTGGTGTACTGGCTACTAGCAGAGATGACATAAACACAGCGATCCCTGCTCTGACTGCCGTTTGTCTTCAGCTTGGAGGCAGCTTAGCTCTTACTTACTTACCGACGGTGTTGTGCTGAGCTCGGGGCTGTTTTTTGACCTCTGCATAGCCTGGTCTTGAAATGCTGGAGGTCTGTGTTGACAGGAAATGTATAGCTGCTTTGAGCTGCGCGTGCTCAGCAGGTGGGCTGCCGTGTTTAGAGCCAACCGAAGCATTATTCAGTCCTGGTGTGTATATTTATTTAATGTGTATATTTATTTATATTTATAAACGTATACGTGTATGTATACACCTGTACATACACACATATGCGTACTTCCAGCCTGCTGTAGTAATACAAAGTTCTGTGTCCCTCTTTGTAGTATTTCGTAAAGTTTCT